ACCGGGGCCGGGGAGTAAAGGGAGGGGGCTGGAGACCCCCGAGCCTCTCCCAGAGCACAGGCTGGAGGTGGCTCTGGCACTGAGTCCAGCCAGGGGACTCGTGGTGGACAAGCCTAGGAAAAAAAGTGGAGACGTGAAAGGTAAAAAGGCTGAAAATAGTCTTGAGCCGGGTCCAGGTGACATCCCTGCAGTAGCGGAAGAGGTGGGAAGTAGTAAAGGAGCTCAGTCTTTGGATAAAGGCAAAGAGACTAATGGCAGTAGTTCAGCGAGCCCGCTGGGTGAGCCAGCTGACGCTCCTAAAGTACGGGCTGCTGTTGAGTCTCCAGAGCCAGAAAAATCACAGACGAGTAGTAAAGAGAATGGCAAAAAGCTGGAGGCTGATGTGCAGCAGCCAGTTCTTTTTGAGCGTAAAGCAGGTGCAGGTCCTTCTCCTGACGTGGAGATACCTGAGAAATCCAAAGCGGAAAGCCCTGCTGGGGGTGGACTTCCATTCCTAGAGCATCCCGCAGCGGCAGGTCACACTTTGGCCATGGTTCCCGAGGAATCTAAAAAGAGGGGTTATGATGGGAGTGGCAAAAAGGCTAAAAATGCCTCTGAGCAGCCTGTCTTTCTAGAGCCCAAACCAACCAGGAGCCAAGTGCAGCCCCCCATGGGATCTGAGCTGGGACACGGAGTGGGAGACACCGATCTGGTAGATGAAAACAGAAATATTAAAAACTTTCCTATTGGCCCTCAAATGCTTTGGAATAATAAAGGAAGCGACTTCAGATCCTTTGGTCAGAGTGCAGCCGCTGGCCCAGGGACTGGCAGTGCTTCTTCTGGCTTCCCAAAGCACCCGGGTGAGGGTGCCAGCAGCGAGGGGCTTCCTCCTGCTGAGAGAGCGGCAGAGAAAAGCAGCCAAGAGCCTAGAGCTGCTGCTCCGAGGGAAACACCCGTGCAGAAACCTTCTGAGCAACCCATCGCTCTGGGACACAAAGAGCCTGCAAAAGAGGTTTCAAAGAAAGGTGGCAAAACCCAAGAGGTTTGTTCCCAGGATGGCGGTGAGGCAGGTAAACCGCTTTCTTTGGAGCATGCAGTTCAACAGGACATTACATCAAAGGACAAAGTTCACCTTTCTCCTGCGGCGAAAGTGGACGATAAAGAAATAAGCACCATGGATAAAAAGCGCGACGCGGACAGCGATTCCTTAGACCTTCCTCAGAAGGTGGAAGATGCAAAAAATAAATTGGCTCCTGTAGGTGCCAAAGGGACGGAGAAACTAGAAGCGACTGTCTCTTCCGGAGAGAAGGACGCTGGGCACGTCTCTGCAGAACGTGCAGCGGTGGCAGAGAGCAAAGCGGGAGCAACCGTGTCGCCGGTTGTGGCAGAAGCGTTGGTGGAGAAAAAAGCTGAAGAGGCTGAGCTGGGGGGAGGCAAGAAGGGCGAGCAAAGCTCACTGGGCAGTTTGGCCAGCCCAGCAGCTGAAGCAGAATTCCCTGGTTTAAATCTGACAGCTGCCCAAACAACCAAAATGAGTCCTCAAGCCAACAGTGAAGGTGATGCTCAGCCTGCGGAAGAGGACGCTGCGCACGGTGGGGAAGCTCACCCGAGGGGTACCCCGGCGCCGAGGTCTGAGGCAGATAAACCTCAAGACACAGCTAAAGAAGCAGCAGAATGTGACCAAAAAGCTGTGAAAGAGATGAAGAAAGTTAAAGCGGCAGAACAGCTAAAAGGCTACATGAGACCCACAAAGGCGAGAGGGGTGCCCGCTCTGCCGGCCAGGTCTGCTGCTCCGGACAGAGAGAAACCCAGGCAGCTGAAACCCGCTGGCGTGAGCCGGCAGAGGCAAGAAAAAGGTGTGTGTGTGCGGTTTGAGCTGGCAGCTGTAATCCAGGAGCTTGCGTGCAAGACCTTGCTGTTTGTCAGCGCGTTGGCATGAATACGTCATCGTTAATCCCGTGTGGCACAAGCGAGTGTGGCATGACCGGGGGTTTTTGGCTGATCTTTCAAGGCTGTTAGACCTGCCTGCCTGTCTCACAGTGCTAATTCCCAAAGTTGGGAGGGTTGACAGCTCGGTCTAAGTTCCAGAGCTCTTGATCATTTTACGTACGCATCGTAGAATATTGAGGTAAACTTGCACTTTCTGGTGTTAAGTGACATTGGCTTCTTGTCATCAGAGACCGGGCGGTGACCCTTATCGATGGTGCAAGCGAGTCGTCGCGCTCGCTGAATCGCACTGCGTGCCCCTGGCGGGCGGGGAGCCCGGGATTTCTGTGGCGGGAGCGCTCTCCATCGCTCTTGTGCTGCAGGGTTTGGTTTAATCCTACCTCAGGCCAGCTGCAACCACCTGCTTGTCCTCCTGCAGCTGGTTCATGACATTGCCTTAAGCTACCTTGGCCAACAAAATCCTTCTAGAGTAATGATCTTTACTAGAGCAGAGTTGTAACAAAACAACAAAGGGATGTAGATTTTAAGACTTTTGTCTATCGCGATGGGCTGGGAAGTGGTTTGGACCGTTTACCCTCGGCTCTTGTCCAGGGAACAAGGTCTGGGTACTCACAGCAAATGAGATGGAATTAATTTCATGGAACTTAATGAAGTTGATAGGAATTTTGAAAAGGAGAGTGTGGTATAGACAGAGGTGAAAGGAAAAAAAAAAATCTCCTCGTACTTCTCCTCATTCTAAACCTTCCTGAGGAAGAGCTGGCATCCTCGCTGTGAATTCCACTCTGCTGGGATGGGATGGGCAAGTCGATCCCTGCCTTTCCCTGCTCTTCGTTTTTTTGCCGTGTCATTGGGCATGAAAGTTTGTTCCTGTTCCTACTTCTGTGGAGTTCCTCGCTGCCAGTTTGCATGATGCAGCCACTAACTTAACAAACGTAGAGCTCAAGTGCGCCTTAACATGCTGGTCAGGTTTTTGAGAGGTTTTGTAATTTTAATGAGTGTTGCATAACCTGGAGTGGTTCTATTTTAGTGGAAGTGGTGTTCTCTGCATGAACTCGTGCCTGCAGAAGTGATGTTCTTTGGTGCATGATGCTACAAAATAAAAGGAAAGCTAAAGGCAGCATCTGTTTTTCTAAAAAAAATCCACTTCTTTAAAGCCTTTCCATTGTCTGCCAGAAGTCTTTATTTTCCTTTGCTAACTGCTGTATTCAAGGGAGTGGAATTTTAGTAGCAGATCCGTGCGAAAAAGAAAAGCTCTTCCTGAGTGCTTTGCACAGGTGAGGTACGTCCGGAGTTGAAGGATCCGTGGCTCAGAGTAGCACTTCAGCGTGTGAGTACATGGGTACATACTTTGCATCTGACCTGACTTTGCACAAGACTTTTAACAGAATTCAGTCGCTTCCATCCTCTCAGCACTTTGCAGATTCGACAGTTGTGGATTGGTGGTGTTTTTGGGTTTTTTTTTTCAGAGAAGCTCTGAAGGATTGAGCTTGTTTTGGAAGTGTTGGCTGACATCTCCCCACAGCAGTTGAAATCCGAGTGCTGCCGGGGAGCGCTGGCGGCAGACCCGGCCCCTGGCGCAGCTTCGCGTGGTCGCACAACATCTGGCCTCAGGGACAAAGCGTCGGTTGCAGAGGAAGAGCAGGGAAGCACACGTGCTTTGCTGTCCAGATACGGAATCACAGGATGTTGGGGTTGGAAGGGATCTTGAAGGATCCCCCAGTGCCACCCCCTGCCAGAGCAGGGTCACCCAGGGCAGCCCCACAGGAACGCGTCCAGGCGGGTTGGAAAGTCTCCAGAGCAGGAGACTCCACACCCTCTCTGGTTCAAGTCCCTTCATCATCCTCGAAGCTCTCCGAGTCCAACGGAGAGCTTCGAGGATGATGAAGGGAGTAGGTCCCAAGGAGACTCCACACCCTCTCTGGGCAGCCTGGGCCAGGGCTGGAGAGGCTTCTCTCTCTTTCCAGCCGCTGCCCCGCTGGGGGCGAAAGAGTTGGGTGAGCGGCACAACGCCAGCAAAGCCCACACCGGGTCCCTCGGTTGGCACAGCTGGACTGGAAGTGCCTTAGGCCGGATCCGAGGATGAAACAGTGAATTCACGCATCGCGAGGTGACACCTTTCCCTTCACTGATTTCTGGTTTTGAGAGTCAGCGTGAGTGTCCTTGTTTACTGGGCAGGGAAGGAGCTACAGGGATCCGGGAGGTCGTTGTTACAGCCCAGGTTTTCACTACGCGCTGGGGCCGTGGGCTGTACGTGCCCTCTCCGTGCCAGTTCATCCTCCTGTTGAGATCACAAGTGGCTCAGAGGTTTTCCATCTCTACCTGCCACCAGAACTTGGTGGCATCTCTATTTCTTGGGCAGTACTGCAATGTTCATACCTTGCAGCACCTAGTACCCACCCATATAAGCTGTTTTTCTTTTCCCCTGGTGGGCAGTCCGTGATCTGTGACCAGAATAAGGCACACAGATTCTTTGGAGGATCTTCTGCTGAAGTTTAGCGGCTGAGATCTCTTTAGCCGGGCTCCCATGTCTCACGCCGTGCGTTCTAGAATAACAGGACAGCTTTCCTAAGTGCGTTCGCTCCTCTCTGTGCTGCTAAAATGGGTACGAGCTCTGTGATACAGTTCCCTTGGGAGTCATGGCAACTGCGAGGCTGCGGATTTCTCTCGCTGACGGAAATTGTATGTATCGTTCATAAAGTAGGCCTGCAAACTTCTGTTATTCTCCCAATTTTGATTTTGCAGCTTGAAGTTAAGAAACACTGGATGTAAAGGCTGTTCATGCGATCTGAATTCGATCCCTTATCCTTCTTTTTGGATTTATTTCAGCTTCTTGATTTTGTTGTTGCCATTGTAAGCACTACCCTAGATTTTTCCGGAAAATTTTTTAATATATTTAATGTCAGCAGGCAGCTGAGACGATAACCAAAGCCTGTCAGACATCATCAGCCTTTAAGATGTGACTGACCTTGTATGCCACCTCTTGTGTGGAGTTAAAACTGAAATTGGGAATTATGTATAAAAAAGCAGAGTCCTAAAATCTGAGCTTCCAAGCAGGTGCCCTGGGTGCTGCGGGGCTGGGGATCTGAGCCTGAGGAATGGTGAACCGAGGAAACGAGTTATTTGTTGCAGGTTTCCTGCTGGCATCCCTCTTCCCTCGACTCCTCAAGCTGCAGTTCAACACTGAGACTTTCAAAAGACGTGGATTTTTTTCTCCAATCCATCCTTAAAGAATAATGTATTTTGGAAGTTAATTTGTTTTGGTGTTTCGGGTCTTGTGTGTTCTTTTCGCATGAGCTCTCGAGGCAAGGGCCGTGGTCGCGTGTGTCTGTTGTACGACGCTCCCGTCCTTAACGCTGCCGCTCCGGTGCTGGCAGAGTCGGGAGCTTATTGCGTAACCCCGCTGGGGTCTGGGCACTCGTGCTTCTGAATCGTTCTCCTAAACGTGGATCAGAGGGGCCTGTCCAAGTAGGCGTCTGGTGCTCAGTCTCCCTTTTTCCTCCAGAGCTCCCACCTCAATCTCTGTCGTTGCCTTCCAGCGCCCGTCCTTCCGGCTGAGCGGGTGACAAGCTGTCTTTGCCGCCCGGTGGCACAGTTGCCGTGTGTGATGCGGTACACACTGCTCAGCGTGACAGCTCTAAATCCTTTGTGTGTAAATAAGGTGCATTTTAAAGGAAGAAATGCCATCCCTGCTTAATGACAGCGTTTGCTTTTGCTCTTACAGCCGCGAGGAAGCACTTTCTCTAAATATTTTCCTTTCCTGACTGGTTTCCATTCTATCGGTGTCGTTAGAATATCGTTGAGGTGGTTTAGCATTTCCACAGGGGCCTTTCATTCATACAGTGTCTGTACCCCGAGCTGTAATTGGGTTTGTCTGTTGTGAGCTGATCAGCAGCGTGAGCACGACGGGGCAGCGGGCTGTAGGGATCTTACCCGTAGTCATCAGCACAAGGGCAGTCGTGGACAAGTAGCTCAGAATAGCAGCAGTGCTCTAATAATGCTTTGGAATGGCCAGGTTGGCATCCTATTGCAGCCTGTTCGTTGATGAAGACCTATTAATTATCCCAGGTAGGTGAACGAGAGAAGGGAAAACCAAGCAAATCCCCCAGGATATTAAACGTATTTATGAAGCAGTGAGAGAACTTTGCTCTTCTGTGCTTCTCCCCGAAACGTTTGCACTCACGTGTTTTTATGTGATTCTGCTTTAACATAAAGTCATGTTGAGGTAGCAGTTCTACCCATAATTAAAAGGTGAGGTGAGCTCGGAGAACACTTTTTTCTTCAGCCTGAGGGTGGCCAGACTCTGGAACAGATTGCCCAGAGAGGCTGTGGCTGCCCCCTCCCTGGAGATGTCCAAGGCCAGGTTGGATGAGCCTGGAGCAACCTGGGCTGGTTAAGGGAGGTTGGGTCAGATGAGCTGTGAGGTCCCTTCCAGCCCAAGACATTCCAGGGTTCTATGATTTTTGCCGATCTGTAGCTTGCAGACACCAGGAGTTCAGAGGGCTCTTCGTGTTCTGTTGGCCCGGTGCGTAGCTCTGAAACTGTTCTCCAACCAGCCGTTGGTTCTGCACGGAGTGTTACGTCGATATTGGCTCTTTCCCTCCCTGGGTGGTCTCATGCAACAATCTCATTTTAAGCTGGCACCCCACAGGCTTCGGCTGCGATGTCCAAAGTTTTGTTTTCTTCCTTTATTTCATATCCCTGCTTGTGCTTGACACTCTGATTTTCGAGAAGAGCTGGGAGTGAAACAAATACACTTTGGATTGTAAGTTCTGGCAGGTTAAGACTGTTGAGCACATTCCCTTGGTGCCCTTGCTTGACTTCCAGGGAATACCTGGATTTCAGACCTCATCTCCCCTTGCTGGCCTTGCTAATTCATTGCTCGTGTATCATTTGGTTGACTTTGCCTCTTTTCAGTTTACGCTATTATTTACTCCTACAATAGCCAAATAGTGGTAGAACTCAGAGTTGGAAGGACTCTTGAGTGTATGTTAATGCTGGTTTTGGCCGATCACAGGGATTTTGGGTGAAAAGTCTAACGTAAGTGGGATCTGAACTGCAAACATCCTGTCCTGTAAGACAGGAGACCGCATTTAAGGATCCTACGGCTCCACACCTTGTGAACGTTGAGCTTGTAGCACGAAGTTGTGATGGCCAGAAGACTGAATATGCTGGTTCACCTTTTTATCCTCTATCCTGGCTTCTTCCAGACTGTGGGAGGAGCCGAAGCGTGCGGGTGGCGTGAGACTTCGTGCGTGCCGGCGCGTCGTGCGCGTGGCTGAGCGGCACGACACGCGTGTGCCGACACACGGACGAGCCAGTGTGTAAATGTTTTTTTCATGCTCTTGGCTTTCACAGGCAGAGCATGGCCTTGATG